TTTTTGATTGGAAATTTTTTCCCAAAATTCGTCGTCGTGGCGCAGTAAGTTGCGGGATTAGGTGTCCTGCACTGTATGTTCGTTAAACTTTTTTGTTGTAAAGAACTTTTATCTATTAATAAAAAAAAAGGAAATAAATAAATCAAATAAATCAAAAGTATATTGTAGAAAATATTATATGAAAAAAAAGTTGTTACACGAAATTTACTTAGTCTCAATTTCTTTAGTGTATAACAAATTCGGAATTTTCAAAATGCTAAGACTCGGCCAATTTTCAGTTTAAAAAAAAACCAGCCAATAAGTTTTGAAGCTTGAGTCATTAACAATAAAACTTATCGGTTAAATTTTTAAAATGACATAATTTTTTTTTGTTTTAGTATTTTGAAGTTGGCCATAAGCAATTAATGATCATAGATGATCTGCACCGTGTATCTTATAACTTTCCCCTAATCTAGGATTTAATTTTGTCATGATGCATCATTAATCGAAAAAATTTTCTATTTTTTTCGACATTCTGTAATACTTGTAAAACATTTTCAATTGGAAGTATCTAATTTATTTATTATGAGAATTTATGACTCATATTTAGACCAAAATGCGAAAATCATTGTTATTGTTATTATTTCATTTCAGAATGGATGTTGTTACATTATTTGTCATCCGATATCCGATATACATATATATATATAATGCGTTTCTCTGGGCAAAAATAACTTGAAATAAGTAAAGAAATGTCTACATTTTCTAGAATAGATTATGATAGTGCAGCATATAATGCATATCGCCCAACGTAAGTTCAATATAAGTTTTATACTGTTTAATATTTTTTTTTTAATTCTTTTTTTCCCTCTTCAAATACATATTCAAGATATCCGCAAAAATTATTCGAAAAAATTTACAATTATCATAAATCACATAATGGATCATTTGATGCAGCCTTAGACGTGGGAACCGGAACAGGTCAAGTGGCTCAAGTATTAGCTGATTCATTTAAAAAAGTTTACGGTGTAGATTCATCAGCGAAAATGTTAGAAAATGCAGTTAAAAAATCAAAAAATATTACATACTCGGTCTCGACCGCTGAAAATCTCGGTCAATTTGGTGATTCTTCGATTGATTTATTAACCGTTGCTTTGGCTGCTCATTGGTTTGATTTACCTAAATTTTTAGAGGAATCTTATCGTGTTCTTAAATCACCTTCGTCATCGTCCGGTGGTGGCACACTTGCAATTTGGGGATATAGTAGTAATACTTTTGATAATTACCCAACTGCTTCAGAACTGTTCGTTGATTATACTACAAATTTGATGCGTGATTATTGGGAGAAAGGTGTATTGGAAATGGATAATTTATATAGAGGATTTGATATTCCTGAACGTTTATTTAAAAATGTTAAATTTGAGGTTTACGATGGAACTAAAGAGAGTGAGCAATATCGTTTTATGGAAGCTGATTGGACAGTTTCTCAATATGAAAAATATTTAAAAGTAATTATTGTTTGATTCCTTTGACTTGTAATCATATAAATAAATAAAGCTGATTATTGTTATTATTATTTATGATTTTTAGACATGGAGCTGTCATAAGACATTTTCATTAAAATACCCAAATGCTGAGAACCCGGTTGATAAATTGATTGCAAGGATGAAAGAAGCAGAAGGTTGGGAAGATGATCAATTATTGAAGATTTATTGGCGTACAGCTTTTATCTTGGCTGAAAAGAATTAGAAATGAGTTTTTACTAATCAATATTAGTCAACTTCACATGTGATAAAAATATAAATAAAATAATTTATTGTAACAATTTTTTTGATTTGCTTTTGATTGATGACAAATGTAACCCTCAATAATGTGGCCTTTGAATTTCAATACTTTCTTGTTTCAAACTTTTTTAAAATAACCTACAAGATAATTGTAGTAATCGATCCAAAGTTATAAATTCAATAAGGGTCTAATTTTTTCTCTTTGGTTTTAGATGGTAAACCATCTTCAACAATGTCAAGTAATTTTATCTTTGTAATTATTAATAAGTGCTAAATCAGCTTTTTTTTTAGTAAGCAAAACATATTCCTCATAAAGCGCCTAACGGTTTACTAGTATACTAGACATATGTTTTCGTTATTCCGAATGGAATTCGACATTAATATCATTTCTCATTTTCGGTTCGTTTTTTTTTCGGAGCACACCAATTCCTCATGATGCTTTTTAACAAAATTTATCCATTTCTCTTCAATTTGTTTTCTTTCAATCCATTGTTCAAATGTTCCTTGACGATTATCACCACTCAATGACTTGCACTTTTGAATTTTGCGAACTAGCCTCAAACCATCATCAGTATTAAATAATATATTGTAAAATAAGCAAATATCTTAATATCCTCAAAGACATGATATGACATCCTTCAGCAATAATACTTTTTAATATAGCATTATCATTATTTGGGACCACCTTTGCTTCCTTCTCGAGTTAGCGTGGGAGCTCAAACATTATTCCACTTGGATTGACTTCATGGTCGACACTTTTGGATTAACAAATTCCATGTAAGGATATGCCTTTAAAGTATCAATATGAAAATAGTGATATGCGCAAAGTGGTTATTTTCTTTTGGGTTGTCCTTCTAATTTTTTTGTTATACTCGTTTTTCCCTGCGCCCAGTGTCCGTTTGCCGTTTTTGACCAACAAACATATCAAAGCTATCGAAATTGAGAAAATCTCGGCTTTGGCCAAATTCCAGCGTTGCCTGCACCAGTTAGTTCCTCCTGAAATCATTTACATAGTAGTATTATACAACTTTGCATTTGGTATTTAGTCAATGGTGGTGATCAGTAAAAATAAAGATCAGCAAAATTTCATTGATTAAAAAAAAAAAAAAAAAGGCGATGAAGAGGCAATTAAAAAAAAAAGTTATACCAAGGTATTAAAAAATATTCATTAATAGTGATAACGATAATTATAATAATTGAAAATAATTTATTAGTAGTAGTAATAATAACAACATTAATAACAATGATAATAATAATAAAAGTAATGAAAATCACAGTTTGGGGCAGAAAGGATTTGATAGCTATTGCTATTGTTATTACCTTGAATGGATCCCTTTATGCGATATTATGTAAATTGCATAAATCATCGTCCTTGCTCTTTTTAATGAACCAATTTTAAACGAAATGCCAAGGTAAATTCATATTATAAGGTAAATATTATTATTACACTAGAATAAAGTAATGAATTATATATACATATGAAATCATATAAAAAAATAATAGTTTATTAAGAATTCTTAACTGATAAGATGAAAAGGCGGGACATTTCACCTGCATTATAAAAATCCCACGACGATGTAGAGATATAGATATTGGGTAATTATGTTTACTAATTCGATCATTCTATCTAAATACATAGGAATTAATTATATTTCATTATTATTATTTGTAAACAGGTATTGACGTAATCTTATATAAGTAAATAATTTAAACAAAAGATAGGCGTGACCACATATTAATACACTATGAAAAATGAAAAATACGCGCAGATGGGATGCATACCGAAAAAAAAAACTTTATCTCATATTTAATTGAGGAATGTGTTGATAGTATAATAGTTTATTTTTATTTTGTTGGTTGTTTTCAAAATCGAATGAATTAAATTATTCTAATAAAAATATATTATTGTTAATACTTCAAGAACTTGCTCATTATATGGATCATTATGATGTTTTATATTAGCTTTTATTTGACTATGTTTATAAATAAAGTTCAATACATTTGTTTATTTCTTTAAAAAAAGAAACACATACAGTTCACTCTCCCTATAACAGCCTTTACTATAACTGTTGTCGTTCTATAACAGACTGAGAATTTGAGCCCAATTAAAATTATCTCATATGTTTCATATATTGTCTATAACGGCTTTTCTTTGTTGAAACAGAAAGGGCCGTTATCGAGAGTAAGCTGTATGTACATAAAACTCTCATTATAGTAAACGCGAAGATTTTATATAAATGAATTAAGAATAGAAGAGTCATGTGATCGATTAATATGTAATCAGTGAAGTTTCCAACCATAGGCTTTTGAACCATAACAAGTGTCTGAAGAACATTTTATGGGTAAATTTGTTATGGATTTTGTGGGTGATGTGATAATTGGGACGGTACCTGTTGCTGCGGTTGTAAATGAGAAGAGAGTCCATACCTTTTCTCCTTTTAAATTATTATTATTACTATTCGTATTGTTGTACGGTGCGGGTCACTATAACACATGACAAATGTTTTTAAATAGCATTTTGAAAAGTTTAATCAGTAACATTATCTGGAAATGAGAAATATATTTTTTTACAATTTATTCTGCCTGCAACACTGCTCGCACTTTCTCTAATACTCCATAAATTTGGCAATATTTTCTAATCTATTTCAATGGTATATTCTCTTGAAGACCTTTTATGTATAATTACAATAGGGCATTGGGTGATTATATTTGAAATGGCATTATCAAAAATGTGTAGAAATTGGCATTTTTTGAGAATTGGTATGTGAAAACATAGTAAAGCCAAAACAACTGGTATGTAAAAATGGATATTATAAAAATAAATGGCGTGAAATTTTAGAGTATTTTTTTGATAACTGGGATTATATAAATGGGACAAAATCAAATTCCAAAAAAAACTTCGTTTGAAGTGATATGTAAAAAGAAGCAATTATTATTATGGTTACCATTAATTTCAAATGAAACCAATTATTCGAATAAAATCAAATAATTCGAATAATAATAATAACAACAATAGAACGAATATTGCCAATTCGAATATGCACATTGATAATGCACATTGATAATAATAATTAACTGATAGTATTAGTAATGGTATTAGTAATATGGATTATTTATAATTCTTTGTCAAATGTATACATGGGATGGTAATTACCTAATTACCGTAAATACGTAATCCGTAATTTATTACAAAATTAATTACAGGTGACAAAACTAATTACGGGCGATGAAATTAATTATCAATAACAACGAATGCAGAGTAAATGCTATTTGAAATCAAAGAAACTGAAATTTTCTATACAACCCCATTAACAATTAATAGCAGTGAAACTTCTTAATTATAAAAGATTGGACAATTAAATTTATCAAACAAAATATAATAGACAAGGATCTTTTTAAATAAATATTATTATTATATTAAAATGTATATCCTGAAATCTTTTTAAAAGCTAAAAGATATAAATAATGCGCACACAAAATTTATAATTTAAGTTTTATATGATGCCTTTTCTGATTCTTTTAATTTATATTTTCGTTTTTTACTATGTAAATTAAAAAAATTAAATCAATAAAATATCAAATAATTATAATTATAATAAATTTTTATATTTACCTAATTTTTACTCTTGGTTCAATTATATTGCGTTCTTGGAGACTACACATACGATCTTGAAATAAATTACCTTCAGGCTATTTTCAAAGTTTTTTTAATAATATATTAATTAATGAAAGATTAATTAATTAATTATTATCAAAAAAACCCCCCCAAATAAAATATACTTTTAATTTTCTTAAAGAGCCTGTTAATTCATCTGGTAATTGAATTTCAACTGGTAGTTTTTGAACTCTTTAAAAAAGATATATATTAAAATATTATTCCTCAAAATATAATGATAACAATAAACCACATACCTGTATTTTCCAATTTTTTTCTTTGGTAACTTTGATAATTCTTTTCTTATTAATTCTTTTTCAATTAATTTCTTTTCAGCATTGATTGTGTTTTGTTCAACAGTTTCTATTATCTCATTAAGCCTATTAAGGACAAATAAAATATATTATTATTACCATAATATCAATAACAATAAATTTTATTCTCACTCACTTTTCTAATTGTTTTCTTTTATTTTTTTTTGCAATTTTTTCTTCTTGTTCTTTCAACAACATTGATTTTTTCTTTTCTTTATTTCTCTCAGTTTTGGTTTTTTTATGTTGATTTTTGTTCGATGTAAAGACATTTTTATCATCACCATCATCATCACCATCTTCTTCTTGCTCTCCCTCCTCCTTTTCTGATAAATTATTGTTGTTGTTGCCATCATCATCAGCCATATCTTCAATGTTTGAAGACAACTCTAAATGGGGAAGTTCCTTTGCGATGCGTTCTTTCTTTAATAATTTATCTACTTCTTCTTCATGGGCAATTTTAAGAAGTAACTATGAATGGTAAAATTATTTAAAATGTTTATTACTAGTTATTATTAATATTAATAAATAATTATATACCTGATGATCTTCAAAAGTTGGATTATAACTAGCACCAGGATGTGGTTTATGAACAGCAGGAATAATCTCAGTTGGTTTCAATTTTAATGTTGGAGGTTCCTTAATAATAATAATTGGTATTTATATCAATAATAGTTGGATCATAAAATTATTGCAAATATACATATATTTACTTTAATCTTTCTTTTTTTAACAGGTTGTAAGAAATCACCATCATCGTTATCTTTAACTAAGATAAAATAATAAAAATTCAAAATTCAAAAATATCAAAATATCAAAAATATCAAAAATAGAATTTTTCTTACAATTATTAACATCATCATCTTCTTCTTTTGACCAAACATCATACTTTCCTGCATTTTTAATTGCATCACTAAGTAAATTGTTTTTTTCAAAAATAAATCTATTTTTATTTTTATTCCTTTTTTTTGTCAATTTTTCTAATCTTTTCTCAATAAATTTATCTGATACTTTGGTTTTTTTAAATTTTTTATATTGTAAAGACGACGCCTTATCATCATTACCCCCTTCTTTCTCATTTTGGTTGTTCTTTAGATTGTTATTATCAGATTTTTCAATTTTTAATTTTATTTTCCCTTGAACTTTATGTATAAAAAAAATCTAATTTATTAATTATCGAACTATGTTATTGTTATTATTATTATTATTATTATTATTATTTTATTT